CCCCTGGCCCAGTGCAAACGTCTGAGCTTGTGGAGCTTGCTTAGAAACGGCTTCCTCTTTGCACTGTAGAGTTTCATCTGGCAATGGCGGATGGCATGATAGATGAAGCTTTTGTCCTTGGGTACTCATGTCCCAGGAGAAATTGATAGTCGGCCTGTCTCCAAGGCTGTTGGGAGTCAGATTTAGATAAGTTTGATTCTTGTTTTTTCTTCAGGCAGACAGATTAATGTAGCGCAGACAGTAATGCACAATTTGTTTAGTGTCCCAACTTTTTTGGAATCCGGTTTGTATATTTGTTTAAAGATGATTCCCCAAGAGCAGCAGAACACACAAGATGTCTGGGAGAGATGATTATGAAGGATCTCCAGCTTCTGTCCATAGTGGAAGATCAAGATTTCCAAGGATTTGTGAGAGTTCTTGATCCAAAATATAAATATTTTCATTTTATAGTAATTTTTGATAATTAAACAATATTTTATTTTAATAGTACAATAAATACTAAAATAAACAGCGTCCCTACTTCACAGTTTTTCACTTATCATGGGGCAGGCTGGAACTTAACACCTGTTATAAATGAGGGACTGCTGTATTATTATTATTTTCCTTATTTTCTTTTTTTAGTGTTTGAAACACCATTTTCACATATTTTATATGATTGTATCTAGTTTTTCTGTTGTTGTATACACTTAGCTATATTGTTAGACTTCAGAGTTTAAAATAAATAGTTACTTTGATGTCTTGTGTTCTTTATGCAGCTTTAATTTGAAATACACTGCTGTTTTTTAGGTTTACTTAGGTGTATTTGTGTAGAGTATTGGTATCGGTATTTGTTTTTTTTAAACCCGGTATTGTATTGAAACCAGAAATCCTGGTATAAAACAACACTACTTTGGACAAATCACAGTTCTCCTCCAAGCATAGTATAGCAAACAGGAAGTACTAAGATGTATTTTATACCCAGTCTTTGGAAAACAGTAATAGATTTTAAGCACTGCCCTCTGGTGGCCAAACTGTGCAACAACAGAGAACAACTATAAAACATATTGGAGTGTGCAAAATATGCAGATAAATAAAATTGCATAAACAAAACAAAATTACTCAATAGCATTTCTGCTGTAACAAAAAATGTAAATCATCACGTTAATACCTTAAAGTGGAGTTATTCTACTAAAGTGGAAAATATAAATCTACCACCTGGCCACATAACTTATACCTATCCTTCCTCTAACCCTGCTTGTGTAGGGTGAACCAGTTGCTTAAAAGGACAAGCACTAAAACTACAGTTTCAAACAGTGACAGAGGAGAGACGAACACCAGATGACAGGCTACACGAGTGCACCATTTGAGAAAACATCACCGCTGCCAACTGAGCTCTTGTAATGAGCTCCAGGCTGAACAGCACTCATCTCATCTCATCCTGTCTTACATTCAGCCACTGCAGTGTAACAGTGGTTTGGCTCATCTTGGCAGACTGTTTTATGATTCTAACCACCACTGAGTCAGGATGCCAAGGCTTCTTTTTCTGACACTGTTTTTTTTTTTTTTTTTTTTTTTGCCCACACTGTTCCTGCTCCAGGCTGAAGTCTGAGATTCTATGGAGAAGAGATTTTAAACTAGTGTTTAGAAGGTATTTTAAAGGGATGAGTTCACTCAGAAATGTAAGTTTGTTTGCAGCATCAAGATGGATCTATACTGTGAAACACAGTAAGACGTGAGAAGCTGAGGATGGGGACATCTTGAACAATTCCCCCACTGTTTGGTTTTGTGGAATCACATTGTGAGGTCTTGAATTGTATTTGACAGAGCCATCATGATTTCTGAAATCAGAACAGAATGAAGTCGAATGTGACGATAGATACAAGCAGACAAACAGGTTTTTATGTCCCTTGTTGCAAAGCCAAGAGGAGGAATGTGAAATACCCTCTGTCTGTCCGTCCATCCATCTGTACATGTTTTGAGCAAGATAACTTGAAAAATAAATGATACCAACTTCCATTTTGGTGCATGACTGCTTCTAGACTTAAGAAATTATCCTTTCAAATATTGGGTTGCCATGTCAAAATCCAAGATGGCTACCATCTTATGTGTATATATACTAACCTTGACTCGAGCTGGATAACTTGAAATATAAGCAATGTACTAATTTCCAGTTTGGTGTGTGGCTGCATCTATGTGTATGTAAGAAAGGTCAGTATCAAAACTTGGGTTGCCATGTCAAACTCAAAACTGCCTACTGCCATAAATTTATGTAAACCAGCCACCCCAATCATTTGAGGAAACTATGTTTTCTAGTTTTATATTGCTTTTTTGTTTAAACCTTTATTTTACCAGGAAATAAATCCATTTAGATTATTAATATATTTTACAAGGATGTCCTGCTTAAAAATGAATTTTCCTCAAATGATTCGGGTGGCCAAAGATGGTGGCCTTGGTGACCATCTTTGGCCACCCTCTGGCTCCATCATCGCACCTGATAGTAAATCAGTGGACTACCACTCGTTAAAGTTAAAAACGTCTGGGGACCTTTCTGGGTGGAGTTTGCATGTTCTCGCTGTGCATGTGTGGGTTTTCTCTGGGTACTCCGGTTTCCTCCCACAGACCAAAAACGTATGTTAGACTGATTGGTAACTCTAAATTGACCCTAGGTGTGAATGAGAGAGTGAAAGGTTGTTTGTCTCGTTTGTCTGACACCCTGGACTGGAGACCTGTCCAGGGTGTCTCCCGCCTCTTGCACAGTGATTGCTGGATATGGGCACCGGTGGCACCAGCGACCCCTGTGACCCGAAAAGGAAAAAGCGGGTGAAGATAATGGATGGATGGATGCTGAATTAGCTAGTATAAAAGATCTACACTCTTGCTCAACACTGTTTGTTAATTTTGTTGTGTTCTGAGCAGAACATGTTAGTATATGTTAGTATATATGTGGATGTACATAAGCTGAGAACAAAATGGGTTCATGTCAATGAAGTTGGGACCTAACCTGGACAAAATCCTTTGCCTCTTCCTCTAGACTTCACGCCTCATGACTGATATCGCAGCTGATAAGATACTAACTACTGATGATAACTATTAGAGCATCACTTCAAAAAATGGCTAATCTCTTTAAATGTCTATAGCACACTCTATCCATTCATTTTCTTTACCCCTTTTTCTTTTCCAGGTCACAAATGAGCGGGTGTCTCTCTCTGGCAGTCATGGTGTGAGACAGGAAAGGCTACCACCCTAAACAAGTTCAAAAGGTGCACACTATTAAAACTGCCACAGTTCCTTCTTTCTTCCAGGTTTGTTTTGTTCATTCTAACATTGTTCTGAGCTGTGGTTCAGGTGAGGTGCTTTAAGGTGTAACATTGTGGGGGGTTTCCAGAATCAATTAGATTTTATTCCAATGTCTCACCAATGTGGATCCCAGAGATGGCTCCATAATCTACATCCTCTGTGACTGGAGACTCTGGAAAAGATTTGGCATGTTTATTTTAATCTAAACATCATTTCTTTTATTATTAAAGTGTAATATCATGTTTTGTTTATAACTTCTTTGATTTATATAATAACAGTTGTGCTGATCTTTAGGAAGCAGAGTACCTTTCTCATCATCTGTGGAGCATGAGGAGTAAAAAAACAAAGTAAGTCCCAGTAAAGACCACAATGTTTAAGGGTTTTATGTTTTTCAGCTGTTGTGAGTTTGTGAGCTTACCTGTCTCGTCACCTGAAGGTTTGAAAAGTCGCGGCTTGAAAAGGGCTTTGGGTCGCTGCAATGAAACTCTTCTGAAAAAAATCAAATGAAACAAAGAATTCAAGGATTTGTGAAATGTTTGTTGAAACAAGTCAGCAATCATACATGCAAATTGTAATTCCAGTTTGAGGACTTTCAGCTAAGCAGACTAAATCTCCTCCGTGCACAGTTCAGATCAAACCTGGAGTTTCGAAGAGATGTTGGGACTGGCTTCAAAGGACCAAAATGTTGGATTAAATGATCCTCAATTCATCTTACTTACTCAAAGAAGGCACACTCAAGGATACGAGAAGATATCTGACTGGTTTTTACTTGCAAGAACAGACTTTTACTCACAGGTTCTACATCATGGAGCCGGTGATGAGCATCTGCACCGGGCAGTGTGCGAGAATTGTTTTTATAATACCTTATCAGCTCTTGTCTCAGTGTGATCTCAGCTGCACATGCAGGGTCGTGAGAGAGGGAAAGTCTCTCTGATAACTCACACACATGGTTCAACATTAATTTAAAAATAGTTAGTGATAAACATCCATAAACCTTGACCAACCCCCCCCCCCCCCCAAACAAAAATGCCCACCTTTCCTGCAGCTGCTTTGAGGGAACGAGACCTGCCCGAGGGCTGGCGTCTCCGAGGTGGCAGGCCTGCCACCAGGTGTCGTCCTCAGTGCTGACAACGTGGAGGACGTCGCCCCGTCTAAAGGCCACGGCGGCGTCCTTACACGGGACGGTGGGATCGTCCACGGGATCATAGTCAAACAGAGCTCGCACAAACAGCTGAGGGGACAAAGATCCACAGAACGGTAATAAATGGAAAATACTTGTAATGGTGTGAACGTTTCAATCATTCTCAATATGCAGATCCAGTTTTCTTTCATTTCCTTCCACAGTTTTTGTTCAACAAGTCATGAACCCAAACGTTCGACTCATTCAGGACATTCCTGCTCTGACTTCTGGTGTTAGTGCAGTTTTTACTTTTTGAAACATTTAGCTTTGTTGGCCATGTTTTTATATTTATTTATTTATATATTACAAACCGGATTCCAAAAAAGTTGGGACACTAAACAAATTGTGCATAAAAACTGAATGCAATGATGTGGAGATGGCAAATGTCAATATTTTATTCGTAATATAACATAGATGACAGATCAAAAGTTTAATCTGAGTAAATGTAACATTTGAAAGGAAAAATATGTTGATTCAAAATTTCACAGTGTCAACAAATCCCAAAAAAGTTGGGACAAGTAGCAAAAAGTGGCTGGAAAAAGGAAATTGAGCATATAACGAACAGCTGGAAGACCAATTAACACTAATTAGGTCAATTGACAACATGATTGGGTATAAAAAGAGCTTCTCAGAGTGTCAGTGTCTCTCAGAAGCCAAGATGGTAAGAGGATCACCAATTCCACCATTGTTGCGCAGAAAGATAGTGCAGCAATACCAGAATGGTGTTACCCAGCGTAAAATAGCAAAGACTTTTAAGTTATCATCATCAACCGTGCATAACATCATCAAAAGATTCAGAGAATCTGGAACAATCGCTGTGCGTAAGGGTCAAGGCCGTAAAACTCTACTGGATGCTCGTGATCTCCGG